CCCTGAGCATCAGATTTTTGTGCAGCAACTACCTCCAACTGCCCAGCACTTTTAAACTTGGGATCAATTACTGCTGGATCAACAGTATGTTTCAGAACATCAGTAGGTTTCAAAGCTCCACGGTTAGTTGTCTCTCCTCCTTTATTAGCTTCATTTTTTTTAATTTCTGCTTGTGTTACTTGTTGATCCTTTTCCTGCCGTTGGCCCTTACAAGATTGCCCAACCTCTTTAATACCAGATCCTCTAACACCAGCAACATCTATACTAGGTGTTTGGACAACTGCTTCAAGAGCAGCAGCTTTAGTATTAAGGACCCTTGTAGAAATTGCAGCAGTAGGTTTTGTTAATTCCTGTAGAAATTGCCCAAGTGCAACACGATTATTCTTGGGATCTTTAACAACATGTGCATCTACTTGCAACTCCTCAGAAATCCTGTATAAGGCTGCTTCAACTGGAGCTATTACACCACCATTAAATAATGCTCCTTCATCAACATTTCCAGCACTAACAACCTGACCAGTCTCCTTCATCAACATTGTTTCCCTAACCAAATTCACTGCATTGGAAACTCTAGCTAGAGATCGATCAACTGGAATATCGACATGAAGTGATGCATTAGTGTTTTGCTGCGACTTAGCAATTAAATAGTCCCCGGCATCCCCTTGTAATTTTTCCACCTTATCATCTCCTCAGCCAAAGCCAAAACTTCAGCAGGCATTACATGATCAATATCAACAGTTTCTTCATGACCTTGCACGTTCCTTGTTGTATTTTTATTTAATCTGCGACATGTTTTTTCATCATGTCCTTGATGTTTGTAACAGTTACAATACAATGGTAAGTTATCATAAACAAAATCTTGAAAGAATTCAACAATCTTGCCCGTTTGTTTATTCACAAATTGCAAACGCAACTTCTCAGATAATTTGTCCATTAAATCAAGAATCACTTTAACTCTTGCAGCACTAGGACACGACTTAGTCTGGGTAGCTTTATCTATGGTTATAGGCTTTCCAACAACTGAAGCTATTGACAACAAAGCCTTCATTGCAAAAAGCTCTGTTGGCAGATTAGACAATGAAATCCAGACCACTGCTTTCGTCGTTTCTTCATTTACCTTAAAATCAAGGGACCATGGAAATATTCGTATTTGATGCTCTTTACCATTGTATTTGAAGTAGTTAACTGACCTCGCAAGTGAATTAACGAAGTCTTCATGTTGATCCACCCTGATAAGCAATTGTCGAGGTGCGAGTTGACCAATCAAAGATGGTCCTTTGATTCCGAATAGTTTCGGCAGTACATTTCTTAATGCTATTAGATCTGGTGCATTTGGAGAGAGCTTCACTACAATAGCTTGGTGTAAACCTTCTTCTTTTGCGAAATCTATCCTTTCCTCCATTGAAAACTTGATTGTTGGGACGCCATGAATAATTTCAATTGGTTTCAACAATTTTCGATTCAAAGTAGCAGCTGCCTTTTGTTGGGACAATTGAGCAGCATACGTATGTTGTATGTTATTGGTTTGGTCACTCTTTACAGCTGCTGGAGGTGGTTCGCCCACAGCTAAATGTGTGGGAGATAGATGCACGTTCATAACTGCTTAACTGCCCATTGTTGTCGGTAAAGAGAAAACGAGAACTGAAGCTTTTGCGCTACAGTACCTACTACGTTTATCTTCAAATCTGTAGTAGATGGCTATGGATTTAAAGATGAAAACGATTAGGGATTGTGTGCAATGAGAAGACGCTTCTTTTGAGACCGATTTGGTGAATTTCCACTGTCGGAATATGGAGTTATGGCCGACAGTTGTATTTTTATACTACTTTTGATAAGAGGTATGAATATATATACACATGATAGTCTTGCTGACCAAGGAAGACATAAAGGTTTAAATGGTAAGTAAATCAATTAGAACTAATTACCTATCCTAAATATGGAAAGATATATACAATTAATTTACTAAGTAATCTATATATATATTAAAGCAAGAAAGTTACCATATATAATTGACATTATGGTTAAGCCAAATGGCAAGCTAATAAATGTCAATAGTATATGGTAACTTTATTCTATATTTGACTATTTTAGTTAAATACAAATATATATATATATATATACGAAATTTGAACTAAAAGATAAGTTTGAATTTATAGATAAAGTTCTAAAATTTGAATTTAAATTAAAAATAAAATTTATCTTTTTTTAACATGTTATCATACTTAATTCGGTTAATGATCATATGCAATCATGTTAGGAACTTTTGTTATTTTTTTCTAATTATTTAAATACTACTTCGCCTCTAGAAAAAAAAACTACTCCATATAACTATAAAACTCTTTCACATTTAAAATCTTACAAGTATAGTTCTTTGAAACACTGTAGCTAGATTTGAATAAAATAAAATTCTTTTAAAATAAATTTAATATATAGGGTACACGTCTATGTTGATCTAAATAACAAAAAAGAGTTTACATAAGCAAATAAAAGTTTATATATATATAAACATACATGCTGGAGAAAGAAATATCACAAAATCAGTCAATACTAAAAAAAAATTGTTTCTTTTTTCTTCTTGAAGAATATTTGTTTGAAGAGTCAATTTGCATAAACGGACAACAAACAAATAACAAAACTTTGACTATACAATTGTTATCATTAATTTCAATTTAGCACATTCAAGGAATTGAAGGGTATAAGCTGAAACCCTTTCATTTAGCTGTAGTCAAGCCAATATTGCAAGGGTATAATATTTTTTTCGTTGAAGAATATTAGTTTTGAATCATTATATTATGTGAAAGGTTTTTTTTTTCAAACTCAACAAGAGAGAAGTTTATTTCTAATTGATAGTTTCTATAGTGGCTTTTAAGTGTAACAAAGAGTATATATAAAGAAAAAATTGGTATGACGTGAAATATTTTTTTTAAATGTAAAGAAATTATTTCGAAAAAACTCTTTACTTTTTTAATTCAAAGATAATAAAAATATAAGATATTTTTGAACATTAGTAGAGAGTTTTAAAATTATTATAATAGAATTTGTATCATGGATAAACTCAAAAAATCAAAATCTTATGGAATATTTACATAATATCCGACCATATTTATTGTTTACTTTTTATTGCTAATATAAATAGATGATATACCGACAACATACGATTATACACATATTATATATAAATTATATATAAATTACACAACATTCCATTTTTTAATTTAAGTGGTCGGGTGAGTACCTATTTAGGCTGTGATTAGATAAAGCCAAAAGAAAAATATGTAATAATTTCAACCAAAGACTAAAAATATAATTAAAGTTCATATGTAGAAATGTTTTATTAAAACTCATCCTTTTATAGTGAAATAAATTAATTTTTTGCAACAAAAGAAATAATGACATGAAAAATAAGATAAAAGAAAATAAATATTGAAAAAAATGTTAGACAGATATAAAAACGAGAAATAAAAGATGACAACAAATTTCTTCTTATGTTTCATCTTTGTTGAGTATAAAAAATTTAAAAGTTAGTCTCATGGATTTAAAATATTTCTTTTCAACTCAAATACATAGATTATAAGATAAGAATATCTTAGAATATTTTTTTAATTTACATTATGTGTCGTTTTTAAAAAATCACTATTATTAACAAACTGATATGATATTTGAATTTGAATTGGAATGCAATTTGAGTAGTTTACATTGAGGTAAGCAAAGTGTGGTGTCGAAAAATAAACTACTTGACAATTTTAAGACAATATATGCAATATTTTATAATAATAATCAACTAATTTAACATTTAATGATTCAAAGAACAAATTTTTTTTCTATATATAGAGTATTAAAAATTCAAATTCTAGGGCTAAAGATATCAATAAATTTAAAGTGTAGTCATACTTAAATAAATCCGGCCAAAGAATCATTTAAATTTATAGATAACCGATTAAAGTGAATTTTAAATTAAGGATAATATATTCACTTGCATCATTATAAAGATAATCATTATTATAATATATATAAAGTTTTAGAAATTAAAATTTCAAAATAGAAATATTTTTTGAAAGATAAAATCATACCAAATAAGAGTGCAAGTCGTAGTATAAGAGTCACGTCGTAATTAAAGAATCGTTTATATCGTGTCAACCTTTGTGCTTTGCCATAAATATGAGTTATTATTTCACTTTGTGGCTATTTTTAGGTTCTAATGACACCTATGAGAATAGTGCAAAAATAAAATTATCACTACGAGAATTGAGAAAATGTTAGTCTTTTTTCATGTAATGTTTCTTAATTAATATCTGACGATTATCTATAATTATTTAGAAGGTTTAAATATTAAGGTTATTTACATATAATTCAAATAACTCAGATATTTAACATGGTTAATGTCAAATATCAAAATGAAGTAAAAAATAATTCACTAGCTAAATAATTTTTTATATTTCTAGATAGCCAACTAAAATGAGTTTTGAATTAAGAATAATATTTTCAATTACATTATTATAAAAATAATTATTATTGAAAAATAATATTTTAGAAACTAAAATTTTAAGAAAGAAATATTTTTTAAGAGATATCAACACACCAAATAAGAGTTCAAGTAGTAGTAAAAGAGTTAAGTCTTATCCAAAGAGTTATTCATTGTCTCAACATTTTATTGTTTTGCCATAAATATGAGTTATTATTTTGCTTCCTGACTATTTTTAGGATCCAATGACACCGGCAAGAATGATATCAAAAAAGAAAAATAGAAGAAATAGTTAATTTTTTCCATGTAGTTAATATCCAATGATTATGTATATTTATTGAGAAAGTGTAAATTTTAAGATTATTTAAATACAATCCAAATAACTTAAATATTTGACATGATTAGTGTCCGCGCATCCTCGTGAGTACTAATACTAGTATTCTTCTAACAAGTAGTATCACATCTCAGCATTTGCCAAACATACAAAATTGACCATATTAGACCATAAGATTAAAGAAAAAAAAGCAAAATGTGGATGGAAAAGAAAGAAGACTCAGGAAAAGACAGAAGACTCAAGTCAACTGGCCAAGATCTGAAAAGTAAGAGAGCTGGAATAAGGTGAGCAAATATTTCCTAGAGCAGTATTATATCCAATCATTGCTCCCACTTTCAGGAGCACCATTGATTATTCTCTGTACTCGTCAGTCCAAATCTGTTATCATAGCCATTGTTTAATGGCTAGCCATATAGGTGTCTTCTTGTTTGTATTTTTGCTGTATTTGAGTTACTTCAAATGCGATTCTAGGGACGTGTTAACCCCAGACAATTTATTATCATTATCCAATGGGGAAACTCTTGTATCAGCTGGTGGGATATTCGAACTGGGATTCTTTAGCCCTGCATCTACTAACAATTATTATGTAGGCATATGGTACGAGGTGAGTCCCGAAACGGTTGTCTGGGTTGCCAACAGGGACAAGCCAATTCCATTTTCATCAACTGAACTTTTCGTTATCGCTATTGATGATGGTAATCTCAATGTGTTGGACTCGACAAGGAACTCATATTTCTCAACACAAGTAGGCACAAGTGCATCTTCTTCACATAAAGCGAAGCTCTTGGATTCAGGAAACTTGGTTTTAATTGATGATTCGTCAGAGAAGCCACTATGGCAAAGTTTTGATAAACCCACTGATACCTTCCTTCCTGGTATGAGGATGGACGATGAGTTCAAGTTGACTGCTTGGAATATTACCCAAAAGGACCCAAGCACTGGAAATTACACGTTCGGGCTAAACCAAGCAGGCAAGTCTGAGTACACCATACTCCAAAAGACGGTCATCCACTGGAAAAGCTCTGCTCGTGCTGGTTATTCTAATCCCCTTAGTTTCAACGAATTGCCCTCTAGTGTAGCATATATGTTATCCAACTTCAGTAAGGAGTTTTCCCCTGTGTCTTACTTCAATTATACAAGGCTATTGATGAATTCCTCAGGGGAAATACAGTTATATAGATGGGATGACAAAAGTAGAGGATGGTTTATGTCGTGGTCAGAACCGCAAGGTCCGTGCGGTGTGTATGATACTTGTGGGAAATTTGGCATTTGCGACAGGGAGAACATATTATCAATGTGCAAGTGTTTGCCAGGATTCAGTCCTACTTCGCCAGACGACTGGATGGCTGGGAATTTTATTGATGGTTGTTCAAGAAAATCAGTTACTACTTGCAACAAGAAATCAAAATCTGACACGTTCTTGATTATGTCTTCGATGAAATTTGAGGAGCCGGACCTGTATTCTGAGGCGAAAAATGAAGATGATTGCAGAAATGAGTGTGTAGGAAACTGTCAGTGTGTAGCTTATTCGTATGAAGATCATGAAGCACCGAGAGGATCTTCTAACGTATCAGCTAGATGCTCAATTTGGACGAATGAACTCCATAATCTTCAGGTCAACTATAGGGGTGGCTTCAACCTCTCTGTCCGCGTAGCAATGTCTGATATTGGTACTTAATTCCCTTTCACAATTTGCCTATATTCTTTGTATGACAGCCTATGTACAAAATTTTTAATCCCATCAGGCCCTGCTTTGCCATTTCTCCGCTCCTGACTTTACCCTTAATCTCGAAAAGAAAAAGAAAAATGTGAGAGCATACAATAATAACATTTGTTCAACTAGAATGTTAACAGAGCGGATATTTGAGGATCATGACAAGAATATCTCTCATTTTTATTTTGCAGAAGTAACAAGGAGAAACTGCAGGCCTTGCGGCCCAAACGTTATACCCTATCCATTAAGCAGTGAACCACATTGTGGGGATTCCTCGTATTATAGTTTTGCTTGTAATGATTCAACCGGAGAAGTAAGTTTCCAGACATTGAATGGGTCCTATCCAGTTATTGACATTGATATTGACAACCGAACATTTGTTATACAAGTGCATGAGGAAAATTCATGTGATAATACAAAAAAGCCAGGGACCCAAGTTGCATGGCTCAATCAGTCGTTGCCCTTTCATCCCATAAACCGGTGTTACAATACTGAAAAATTACAAAATCGCACATCTGGTCAAGCTAGATATGGAATACGGATGATCATGTGGGAACCCCCGTTAGAACCTACATGCATTGCTTCTGCGGACTGTGAGGATTGGCCAAATTCAAGTTGCAACATGACCGGACAAGGAAAGAGAAGGTGTCTCTGCAATCAATACTACAAATGGGATGGTTCGGTATTAAACTGTACCACAGGTGTGGATCACTTGTTTGATCAGCCCCCTTTCACTACATGCAACACTTTGGTTTATATATATTCTTCATTTTAATCACCGGCATTTGAATGCATGCAGCTTCAGGAGCATGGAGTGAGAAAAAAGCAGCATCTCTGAATCTCAAAGCCCTCATTATTTCCATCAGTCTAACTGCTGGAATTGTAACCATGTGTTCCATTGGCTATTTTATCTACCATAGAAAAAAGTTGGCAACAAGGAAAGGTAACAATGGAGCAAGTTCAGTCATCTTTCTCAATTATTCCACATGCTGGATATGTATTTATTGTTAATTGCAAACTTACTTTATGTCATGAGAAGCTAAGGAAATAATTCTAGGGAATTGGGTGGAATACTTGCCCGAGAGTGGAAGTTCATCTAAATATGAGATAACCGAAGATGATAAGAAACGGATAGATGTCCCATTTTTCAGCTTGAAAAGCATACTAATCGCTACAGACAAATTCTCAGATGCAAACAGGCTTGGTCAAGGAGGATTTGGCCCTGTTTATAAGGTTGGTTCTTACTTGTTTGTCTGTACCATTTTGGAATCACGTGTGTTATCATTGTATAATTACTGCATGCTAAGCAATATTGTACAGGGTATTTTCCCTCAAGGACAAGAAATGGCAGTGAAAAGGTTATCAAGTCATTCTAGTCAAGGTGCTGAAGAATTTAAAAATGAAGTAATGTTAATTGCCAAGCTTCAACACAGAAATTTAGTGAGGCTTTTGGGCTACTGCATCGAGGCAAACGAAAAGATTTTATTGTATGAATATATGCCTAACAAAAGCTTAGACACCTTCATATTTGGTGAGTCTACTATTATTCTGCAACCTCCCTTCTGAAAAATTATTACAAGATCATCGTTCTGAAATTATGCTACACAAACCTGCAAGATCATACTCTTCGCCAGTTATTGGATTGGAAGACCCGATTCGATATTATCTTGGGTATTGCTCGGGGGATTCTTTATCTACACCATGACTCAAGGTTACGTATCATTCACAGAGATCTAAAGACAAGCAATATCCTATTAGATGAAGAGATGAACGCCAAAATATCAGATTTTGGTTTGGCGAGGATAGTTGAAGGCAAAAGTATAGAGGCTAACACGGAAAAAGTGGCGGGAACTTAGTAAGTATATAAACCTACCATTTTAGCTTTCTACACTTGTTTTCCAAACATGAACAAAATTGCAATTTGAAACTAAACCATATTCTTGCACTCGATCTACTTATTTCGCTGACGTCTTCAGATTAGAGGCCTCTATTGGCATATAGAAAAGAAGAAGTTGATGAGCTAGTTGTTTTTTAATTTGTTTCCATAAAAACTTCAGAAGTCTAGTTGTGTGGTACTCATGATTTAGTTACTCATGCAAATTCGGACCGTCTCTTGTGATACAGTGGCTATCTGTCACCAGAATATGCATTGGAAGGACTGTTTTCAATCAAGTCTGATGTTTTTGCCTTTGGGGTGGTTGTGCTTGAAATCATTAGTGGGAAGAGAAACCTGGAACTTTTTGAAGCCACAAACCTCTTGGGTCATGTAAGTATCAAAATAATATCATTATTGTGGATAAACTTGTAAAATACATACTTCATTTAATGGAGTGCAAAGTCAAAACTAGAAATGAACGGAGGGAGTAATTGCTTCAAACTCACTGAATATTATTGTTGATTGAAAATACTATTACAGGCTTGGAAACTTTGGATGGAAAACAAGGCATTGGACCTGATGGATCCAATACTAGAGGATACATGCATTGAAAAGGAAGCATTGAAGTGCATTAATGTTGCACTTTTATGTGTGCAAGAAGATTCAGGTGGTCGCCCCACCATGTCAAATGTGATCATTATGCTTGGGAGTGAAACCATTACTCTTCCAAGACCTAATCAACCAGCTTTTGTCACACGAAGAAACACCGCTAGCATGTCTTCCTCCTCTTCTCGTAACCCTGCACACAGTAGCTCCATCAATGAGTTGACCATCACTGTTGGACAAGGCCGATGATGTATAATTAATTAGTTCATCAATTGTTTTTCTTGTAAATGCAAGATCAGTCGTTCAAAGATTTGAACGCTATTTAACCTGTGAGTGTGAATCTTGATTCTGCAACATTATATTATGCGCAGAATTACAATTGTAGTTGCTGTAATAATGGTGAAACACGAACTGCTTAATTATAATACATTCTTCAGTACTCTTTTCCATTTATAACAAGTCAGAAGGATAAAAGGAATTGACTTTGAAAATCCAACTTTGACTAAGCATCTTCAAAACTAAAAAGTGATACGGATTATTAAAGTTCATCACTCCTTAAGTAGTTAACTCGTGCTAATTTTGTGCTCCTCACATCATACTCAGTAACATTATATTCTTGGAAGAGCATTTAGTATCTACTAAATATCAAAGGGATTTGGGAGGACATTCACTTGGAATAAAAGGCTACTAATTAGTGGTAGCTCGTGAAGGGAAGACTGCCCAAGTCCATATAAAGAGACCACCAATCCATTCCCTAACCAATGTGGAACTCTAAACCACTCTAACGCCCCCTCGCACGCCCAGACCACCAACTGGAGCGCGTGGACAATATATTATAGGGGCCCAAATGGGAACGGACCTAGCTCTGATACCATGTAATGATATGGTGTTTGGTCCTAAACTCAACTCCAAAAGCTAGCTCGTGAGTGGAGGAGCTGCCCAAGTCCATATAAGGACACCAACAACCCATTCCCCAATGTAGCTGGGACTCTAACCCACTCTAACAACACCTCGCACGCCCATACCACTAACTGGAGCATGCACAATATATCATTGGGGCCCAAACGGGAACTGACCTGGCTTTGATACCATGTAAAAATATGGTGCTTGGGCCTAACTCAACCCCAAAAGCTACCTCGTGAGAGGGGGACTGCCCAAGTCCATATAAGGAGACCACCAGCCCATTCCGCAACCAGTGTGGGACTCTAACCCACTATAACACTCAATACCCCCGTATGTGGTGGATATATTAGGTACTGGATTATCCAGCTTGTGGAACCATTAAAGAGAAAAAAATTCCACTCATTGTGATGTTAAGTTCCTATCAGCAGTTTTTTTTTTTCCGGTCTAGTTATTTCTAATTTTGTGTTACTGGCATAATGAAGGTTCTTTAATTTTGTGTTACTGGCAGAAAGGTATACAAGATGTACACATGCTTTAGCACTACTAATGACTTTACCATACTAAATGAAGCAGAATCAGGTATGGAAACTCAAGGTGCATCAGCTGGAAGGGAAAAATGTAGTTATGTAGTGGAACCAGGGCCCTCCCAAATAATTTTTATATCGGTATGAAATTAGTTACTTAGAATATTCGGGGCCTAAACAAAGTATATACGAAGAAGGAGATGAGGTTGTTTATTAAGAGGAATAAAGTAAGCCTGATGACTATTTTAGAACATAAAGTAAAAGAATGAAATATAGTACCGATTATGAATATCAATATATAGTTCCTGGTTGGTGTTGGGAAGCTAATTACATACATATCAATATATGAAGAATTATACTACAATGGAATGGTAAAGATGTAGATTGCAACTTGCTAGGTATGTCCAGTCAGTGCATATATTCCTCAGTTGCTATCAAATCTCTTAATATAAGATTTACTCTCACACCTGTTTTTTGCCTACACATAGTGGAAGAGAGGAGGTCATTTTGGAATGAGTTGAGAAGCTGGCATAGTGGACAATAAGGTCTGTGGATATCAATAGAAGATTATAATGCAAAAATTATTGAGAATGACTGGAAGCCCTGCTCAAGAATGGGAGATCAGAGACTTTAATAGCTTCATGGAAGATACTGTGATATGTGAAAAAGTCAACAAGAAGGAATTATATCTGGACTAACGGGCACACTTATAGATTGGACCTTCATACCTATTTTTCTTACTACCTGTATGCAACTCATCAAGCCCAATGTCTATATCTATTTTATCTGTGTTTATATCACCCATCCTTTTAGGCTTTTCACTTCTTTTTTTCCTGCTTCTCTTCACCTGCTCTCTACCTTCACCAAACTCCTCATGAATATCAGATAAGAGATCATTGTCATTATAAACATTCAAATTAACTTCATCAGAACTGTCAGAAGTCTAGTCTATGTCGTCTTCTCCTTCATTCCCAACAGCATCAGAAGCAACAACATCAGAAGCAGCAACGTCAGAAGCATCAAAACTTTCTAAAGTCCAGTGTATATCATCATAATCTTCATCATATACCTCTTCAACCTTTTCAACCTCTATAGGCCTTTTTCCAGAAGCCTTGCTACTACTCACACCTTCCCCTTTTTCAATAAGGTCATGTACTAATAAAAGGGCAGTATGAGTCACATATATTTCTAGTGTATCCTCATCCTTTAACTGATTTCAAATGTCTAAAATGTCCTTATTAGTCAATACATTTACTAGTTTGTCAATCCTATCCATCAGACATATATACAACTCAGCCACGTTAGTTAGTCCCATCTCCTTAGTGTAATCCATAAGCTCAAAGAATGATATCATATATNTAAAAGGACCAATGATTAACTCACCCCCGTTATTCCACTTTAAAGTAACAATTTTAAAAGACATTGTCCTTGAAACAAGTAGACAACATGTATCAATTTCACATGCAAACAAAGAATAAAGAAATCAAAATGGACAATAAAGAAAGATATAACACAATAAAGAAAGAAAGCGACAACACAAGCTCAAAATCACCAGGTTTCAATAGACAATGACAAGAGACTCCCCATAAATACATCTTAAAGTCCTAAAATACTCATGGCGAAATACCCAAATAAACCCTAACTATTTCGATCCACCAATCTAAATCAAAACGATTGAACAACATAAAATGAGAATACTAACCTGAAAATGACGAAAGTAACAACAACAACCAATAGATAGGTTCTCGTCAGAGTCGCCTTCAAAGGTTAGGGCTCAAGAACATTTTGGGAAAATAGAAATATGTTTGTTAGTCTGGCCGAGGGGTATTTTTTAATCTAGCAAGATCTTTCTTAGGTCGGGTTGTCCATTTTTAATTAAAGAATCATTTGTGTTTAATTTAAATAAGCGCGTGTATACACAACATTGAGTATTACTTAGATTGGTTAAAAGTGGTGTGTCATTGACACACTTTTGAAAGGTTTGGTGTGTAATGTTAAACCTGTAGTCAACAGGTGTGCAACAAGGATCTGAGTGCAAGGTGGATGGGTAATCTATATTTTTTCCTTAAAAAAAAAATTACATTATAGGATATACTGGCTAAGTGACAAACATGAGCGCAAAATTAAGTATCAACAATACATACGTCATACGTAAAGTACCAAATTGGGTTACCAGAACTTTTTTTTATGAATAAACACGACATTGTCTACAAGATTGGTGCTTGGAACTAAACATAAACTAATTGACGGTATAATTGAAAGTAAAGTGAATTAGACCGTATATACATGAGCTTAAACTCTATTGACAACTATTAGAAAGCTTGGAAGCTTTGAATTCGAAAATTAAATTTTGTGAAATTATTATTTGTTCAGATTGAGTGTTGTTGCAAATGATTAGGAATATCCTTTAGAGTTTATATTTCAATTTTGAGAGAGTTTGATGAAGATTTGAGGTGGTTTTTGTTGGAATTTCAAATTAAAAACTCGAAGAAGAAGACATAAACAAATTGTATACATTTTGTATGCCGGATGTAAAAACAACATATAAAATATAGACAACTAACATAATTGCATACAAATTGTATATAAATTATATGTAAATTATAGTTTTTGACCGGATTCGGTGTAAAATATTGATATTTAAGTTGTAGATAAATTGTAGATGTTGACCGAATTTGTATATATTTTTAAATTGTAGTGTGTATTCCATACATTTTTAATCTGTTGTCTGTTCTTCCAGGCAACTAAGATGCAATCTTCGACCACCTGTCAATTAAATCAGGGGATATATATATATATATATATATACATGGTTTGACGTAAGAGTAAAGACAATATTGAAAAGGCGTTCAAAAAAGTTGATGGGAACATATGTATGTTTGACAAGCTTGGTATAATATATGAGATTCATACTTGTTTCCCAAAGAGTGGTGCAATTTGACAATAGTGTCCTCTTCTTCTGGAGTGAAATTTCCTCGCTTTACGTCAGGTCTTAGGTAATTAATCCACCTCAAACGGCAACTCTTTCCCCACCTCAGTAGCCCTACAAAATCAACAAATTACACAAGATATTTTTAATTCATGACCAGCTTGGTGAATATTTTCTTAGGTGCAAGTAACTTAATTCGTGTTTTCTTCTTGTTGGAACATTGATGATTTTTTACCAGCAATTACCTGTTTTTCTCCAACCGCTTTCTGAATAAAATGAAATTTCATTAGGTATATATAAACCTACTGTTGGTTGATTATTCTGATTGGGGATTGTCTCAGTCATGACATTGTTAATTAAATATATACTCGTACTATAAACTAATCAAATTAAGATTTTACACAACCCCAACTATTTCTAAACGACAAATTTGCGCTAAAATATTACAAAGGTTAGCTTCACAAAATTTTTGCTATGGTCAGATATATTTTTGGCCCAATAATAATATAGAGGAATTTGTGTTCAGCAGGCAGAGACTTGTTATTATCGAATTAGCTGACCTGATTAAACCTTGTATCTATTGTTGAACTGGAACGGGCAATATAAATCACCCAAGGAAAAGCTTTTATATATATATATATATATATATATATATATGCGGCTCATAAACATGAAGAGCAATATGGACGCATTTAAACTACTCATATACTGACAGAGGCGCGCGAATCTTAAATTTTACTTAATTCTTATGGGTTCAGTACTGGGATTCCAACAACTGAAACTATCCCTTTGTTTGAGTTATGAGCTACGTACCAGCTTGTTTAGGATGACCATGCTTCTGAATGAAAGATATGAGCCTCAGATCCTCTTCTGAACTCCATGGCCCCTTCTTCACCTTACTTTTATCGCAGCATGCTGCTCTCCCTTTTCTCATCTCCCTCCATATATATATATGTGGGTACACCCTATATATCAGCACGCAAAATTGAAAACGCACTACACTTCTACCGATCTTTCACAGTTGAGCTCTGATAATAGGTGAATTTAACTATAATTAGGCCCTAAATAACCACCTTCTTG